GATTAGTGTGCATAAGATATGAATTGCCAAGTTTATTTTCTTCCAAAATTTTGATTTTCCCAGCATAATTGGGAAGGCTCATATGACAAGTTTTGCATGAGTATGCCATGTCTGGGTGTGAACACTGAAGTTTTTGAGTTTTATCAATGAAATTTTTAGTGTTCTGTGTGGGTAGAGAATGTACATATTGGTAAACATTGTCCGTTTCATGAAGCGATAAATCTTCCCTATGAACATTACACATCTATGACATAATATCACTTTAATTGACACCTGTTTGAAGGAACCCGTAATCTTTTTAAGAAACTTCCAAGCTTTTATATCAAACTCCAATTAACAAGCTGATCCCCAGCTTGTGATATTATTGCGGACGTTGGGGATCAGCTTGTTAATTGGAGTTTGATATGGAAGCTTAGAAGTTTCTTGAAAAGATAAAAGGTTCCTTCAAACAGGTGTCAATTAAAGTGATATTATGTCCTAGATGTGTAATGTTCATAGGGAAGATTTATCGCTTCACCTTTGGGAGTGTCTCGACTAGGGGTGTCTTGAAAAGCTCCTTCAGGAGTGTCTCGACCCTAGGAAACTTAGGAGTATCTTGAAAAGCCATCAGATAAAAGCTCAGAATGGAGAGGCATACCTTGGAATACTTGGTTTTACTATCATTTTATGGAAATTTTGGAAAGAAAAGAAGTAAGGTGGTTGATGACATTGAGAACAATGTTTATAATAGCATATATATACCAAGCATAAGCATTCTAGTATATGCCTCATGTAATGTTCACGAGGCTTTCTAGTGGACTTGCCACAAATCTTAGTCATTTCACAAAGCATACAATAAAATACAAATTCAACAATCACACAAGAAGAAACAGCCCAAACAGTACAAGGGGTTAAGACCAACATGTAGATGAGAGTCGATTTTTCTAGAGCTAGTGGCTTGATTTATTATGTTAGATGTTGGATTGAAACCTAAATTATGTGTATCATGTTGATTTGACTATGGCTCCGTTTGACAAGAGCTTTTGTGGCTATTTTAGCCATAAAAGACAAAACATGTTATTTTTGTCACAACAAACGAAACATCACATCTAATTCATAATCATTACATTCTTCTCTCACAAAAAAAAAGTTCATAAAGTCAAAAATTCAGAAAGTCTTCAAATCAAACTTTTTAGCTCAGGCTAAAACAGTTAAAAAAGTCAAAAAGTCAACTTACTTTCAAATGGAGATTATGTTTTAGTCAAGTTTTTTTTGAAGTCATTATCTTACCACTTTTTACCGGTGTAGTTATGATTGATATCTTTATTTGGAGGTAATTATTATGCAATTAATGAAAACAAGTTATGTAATCTACAAATATAAAAGGCTAAAAAAAAAAAGTGATATATAACAGTTTTTTTGTACTTAATTTTTTAAAATTATCATAACGTTAAAAGTGAAAAAATTAAAGTAAATGGTCTTTTGAAAATGTAAAAAATGTTTTAAAATTAATGATTTTTTTTTTTGAAATTAATGAAGATTAAAAAGTGCATTATTATGATTATCATCTTGTGACCAAGTCACTTTTTAGCAACATATTTTTTTTAATGTATTTATGGCCAAAATCAACATCGTCATCATCAGGATCAAGCAAGGGTAATACTAACAAACAAAAAAAAGGAGACAGTTGATGCAAATCTACAATTTCAAAAAAGAAAAGAAAAAAACAAGAACAAAACCACCACAAGTCAACAGGATTAATGTATATTCCTTCTAGAAGTTGTGATTTCTCTGGTTGTTCATGGAGCGCATGAGAGAATTTATATAAAATTTTGATCTAGAACAATGTAGTAGTTTTGGATTCTATCATAGTCAACCATATTTTTAAGATGATCATTGTTATATTATTTTGATACAAAATTATATATATATTTTTGTTTGTAAATCACTTTGCTCATATGTTTATGGACTTCATTCACATTTCATGATGTGAATCGGATTTACTAATTAAAGCTTAGGCTTGTTTGAATTATGGAAAGTTCTATCACCTTATTTTATGTTACAATTATGATATTTGTGATCCTTAGTTATACCTAAGGTGTTCAATATTATTACTGATGATTTATAATCACGATAATATAGGTAAAATATAAATTCCAACATAAAAGATGATGATGTCATTTTTCAATATATTTGATGCAACACATACTAAGTGGGGCGGTTATATTTTTTTTCCAATTACTTAACAAAGTAAATCAATATATCTCACTCATAAAAGTTTTCTTTGCGTAATTAGTTTGGATTATTATATAACCAATATTACATAGTGATTGACGACTACCCCATTCTGTCCGGATGCAATTGCAACACAAAATTTGATTAATTAAGTATAAAACATTGGAGAAATCACTACTTTTATATATAACAATAGTAACTCAACAAAGTTATACAGAAGATATAGAAACAAAATCATTTTTTTTTGTTTTCACTAAGAAGAATCATAAGGCTCTCCCAACCAAAACCTCTCTCCCCAAATAATTAAAAAAAAAACAAATACGAACTTAAAGAATCAAGAAGACACTGGCCTATTCTAGAATTTTTCCTATCTCATTCTAAATGTTTTTCTCGCTCAGTGATTTTCTTCAATTAAAAAAAAAAGTATAGACTACAATACAAAGAAAGAATAAATTTAAATAAAACTTAAAATTTATTATTGAAATTACACTAACCCATGAACCCCTTTTTGTTTCTCTCTTTTCCTTCCTCCATGCTTCCAACTTCCTCACTTCTTCCCCTAAATCACTCCACACAATCCCCCACAAAAAATTAAAAATAACACCATACCATAACCAACTCACCACAATATCAAGAAAAAATCAAAACCAAAATCACACCCAAGAGTAAATAAGTAAACTCTAAAACTCCTAAATTAAAAAAAAAGAAAAGAAAAAAACAAGAACAAAACCACCACAAGTCAACATGATTAATGTATATTCCTTCTAGAAGTTGTGATTTCTCTGGTTTTTCATGGAGCGCATGTGAGAATTTATATAAAATTTTGATCTAGAACAATGTAGTAGTTTTGGATTCTATCATAGTCAACCATATTTTTAAGATTATCATTGTTATATTATTTTGATACAAAACTTTATATATATTTTTTGTTTGTAAATCACTTTGCTCATATGTTTATGGACTTCATTCACATTTCATGATGTGAATCGGATTTACTAATTAAAGCTTAGGCTTGTTTGAATTATGGAAAGTTCTATCACCTTATTTTATGTTACAATTATGATGCTTGTGATCCTTAGTTATACCTAAGGTGTTCAATATTATTAGTGATGATTTATAATCACGATAATATAGGTAAAATATAAATTTCAACATAAAAGATGATGATATCATTTTTCAATATATTTGATGCGACACATACTAAGTGGGTCGGTTATATTTTTTTTCCAATTACTTAACAAAGTAAGTCAATATATCTCACTCATAAAATTTTTTTTTGCGTAATTGGTTTGGATTATTATATAACCAATATTACATAGTGATTGACGGCTACCCCATTCCGTCCGGATGCAATTGCAACACAAAATTTGATTAATTAAGTATAAAACATTGGAGAAATCACTACTTTTATATATAACAATAGTAACTCAACAAAGTTATACAGAAGATATAGAAACAAAATCATTTTTTTTTTGTTTTCACTAAGAATAATCATAAGGCTCCCCCAACCAAAACCTCTCTCCCCAAATAATAAAAAAAAAAAACAAATACGAACTTAAAGAATCAAGAAGACACTGGCCTATTCTAGAAATTTTCCTATCTCATTCTAAATGTTTTTCTCGCTCAATGATTTTCTTCAATTAAAAAAAAGACTACAATACAAAAGAAAGATAAATTTAAATAAAACTTAAAATTTATTATTGAAATAACACTAACCCATGAACCCCTTTTTGTTTCTCTCTTTTCCTTCCTCCATGCTTCCAACTTCCTCACTTCTTCCCCTAAATCACTCCACACAATCCCCCACAAAAAATTAAAAATAACACCATACCATAACCAACTCACCACAACATCAAGAAAAAATCAAAACCAAAATCACCCAAGAGTAAATAAGTAAACTCTAAAACTCCCAAATTAAACCAAAACAACATATCATAAATAAAAGGACTAATTGATTTAGAAGCAAACATCCAAAACTAAATGAAGCAACATTTTCTGAAAATAACCCTTTATAAAGTGTTTGGAATCACATAAAAAAGTCATATTATCTTTAGTAATTTTTTATTTAGAAGTATGTCAAAAAAAAAAAAAAAAAAAAAAATTCTATTCACCTCAAGTAAACGAATTCAATTTTTTTTTTTGAAAAGTTATATAATTTTTTTTAAAAGTCCAGATAAGCAAAAAAAATAAAATAAATAAATATTATTTTATTTCTATTGTTTTTTTAATAATTATTTAATTTTTTGATGTCTTTAAAAGGCTGATTTTTTATTAAAAAAAAATTAAAAAGAAAATAACTTAAAGATGAAAATAAATCAAAAACAAAATCAAGCAAACCCCAACAAACATCCAATTAGCATAGGCAACGCGAGACATGTAAAGTTGTTTTAAAAAGATGGTTAAAAGTTAATTTTTTAATTTTTAATTTTTTTTAAATATGTAAAATATGAGAAGTAATATAACCTAAATTAATTTAAAAATTGAGAACCAACTATTAACCCACTTTTCAAAGAATCTCCGGTCATCCTCCCGATCGACTGATAGTTTGATCAAATCTCAAATCACTCCATTGGAATGCGCGATATCAAATCAAGTTTTTTTTTTTAATCAAATTTAAATAAAATTTGATGAAAATTTTGAATAAAACATTGGATATGCTCTAATAAATTATTTAAATTTATTTTTATGCTGTAAAAATAGTTTCTTTTTTTAACTATTTATTTTTATTAGTTAAATATAACTAATAAAAAAAATGTACAATTTAACTTCTTTTTTTCTAATAAAAA